TATGGTCACACAACTAAGGGTTAATAGAGTATGCACAGTTCAAAGAAGGGAGACTTTAAAATGTGCCCACTTCACAAACATGACCAGTGTGGCCTCTTAGCATCTCAAGATTACTAGGTCTCGTGGGAGCATACAAAGACAGGTTGGACATCCCCTATTTCAAAATCTGTAACACTGTATGAAGTCTGTAACTTTCTGAATGCTAACAGGAGAACACAATGGAAAGCTGACCCACTGTTAGGGATCATATAGTGAATGCACAACTCCACTCAATAGCATAGCAAAGTATATTACACATAGCCAATATCCCCAAATACAGGGCTTGGAGGAATCCCAGACCCCAACACTTCCGGTCCTTGGTGTTGTGGATGGCAAAGCCTGAGCCAGGCTTGTGTAGTGGAAGAGTCAATCTTGGGTTCCTGACCACTGATGTAGCTCAGGCTGTGTCTTTCTACAACTGCCCTAAGTAAGCATTAACCTCTCAGGAGAGTGCTGGTGCCCTGCTGTGGCACCAGCAACCCACTGCTATTTGTAAGCAAGCAAGCAAGCAAGCAAGCAAGCAAGCAAGCAAGCAAGCAAGCAAGCAATTCCCTTCCTCTTCACCTGAGTGCCAGAGGCAAGGCACAGGACCTTCTGCAATCACTGCCAAGGATGATCTGCACAGGTTTTAGGGCATGGAGTCCTGGGGCTGTTTCTTCACATGGAAGAACCTGGGGACACACACCTTCAACAGCTCTTCCCTAACCCCCAACTCTGTGTGGCTGTTAACCTAGACATCCTCCAGACCTTGCTGAAACAGGCTGGGATCTAAGACTAGGTTTTTTTTTTTTTTTTTTTTTTTTGTCTTGTTAACTGTTCAGGGTTCGCTGCAGCCTCAAAATTTTTTATTTTTGCACGCCATGTCCTCCCACGCTAATTTACAAAGGTTTGTTTTCTTAGCTGCTTTCTCTTGCAACTGGAAATGACACTAAATGCTTTCCAACTTTTCATCTTAAGGTGATCCCTGGATGCTGCCTTGCCTGTGGAAGGCTTCAATCCTGTAGGTGGCCTCGACTAACTGCGTGGATGCTCCAGCAGACCACTATGGGTAGAAGAGCTAACAGAGGCAGAGTTTCACTAAAAAGAATCATAGGCACTTTGGTGCTACTTGAGGTGGAGGGTCTCAAATGTGTAATTCTATTTTCTGGATGTGTCTAGAATACTTCTAGCACATCTGGATCTCCATAGGAAGGATAGACACATGAAGCCCCGAGTATGAACTGGAAAGCGCTAGATAGAAATGTGCCAGAGAGTCTTGGTGTCTACCCTGCTCCTGAGCCCATCAGGAGGAAGGAACGAGGCCTGGAGGCTTCTTGTCAAACTATACTTGTATTGATCCAGCACATGCTGAGCGTTTCCATTGTTCTGCACGCTGTGCTTGGAGCCAAAGGTGAAGAGAATCAAACAGACCAACCACCGGTCAGCCCTTTGACAGAGTTGTATAGTGTAAGAGATGTCTAAGGGCGTTAGGGTAGGTGAGACTTCCTGGAGTTAGTTACCTTTGAGCTAACTCCTTTGAGAAAAATACAAAACAAAACACAAACAAAAAAACTCAACAAAGCATAGGGTGGTGATGATGAGAAGCTCCCTTTTATGGGAACAGAATGAGCCAAAGCTCTGTGGTAGGGGGAACTAAGACCACTGGCCAGAGTTCAAAGGGCATGAGAGCAGGAGGAGAGTTGTGGGAGGGAGAGACAGGGGTAAAATCATTATAGGATTTCAGTCTTTTAAAGAAGGCCCTGAGAAGCCACTAACAGATTTTACCTTAGCGGAGACAATATCTGACTGTTGCTTCCAGTCATTCCACAGCTGTAAGGAGGGGTCTCAGGGACTGAGCTCACCCACAGGACTCTGAAGAAACGGCCAAGTCAACGGTAACATAGACACCACGTTAACTTTCCTCACTGCAGTAAACACACAGGATGAAGGATCAAAGATTTGTTCTAGCTCTCAGGGAAGATCTTTCTGTCCATGGTTATTTGATGCCCTTGCTTTGTGGCCTGTGGCAAAGGAACATATCTCATGGTGGCCAGGAAGTAACAGAGACGTGCCAGGCTTCCAAAATGCCCTTGGAGGTCTTGCCCTCAATGACCTAACTTCCCACGCTTAGGACCCACCTCCTCAGGGTCCACAGTATCATATTACCACTCCACTTAGTGACCATGGCTTTAGTCTACGGAATCTTGAGACAGAAATAGGTTGTGAATATAACATGGTATGTGTAACTCCTTGTTCCTTCAGGTAAAAGAAAAAAGTGTGTGGGGGGTGGGGTGGGGGGTGTAGAAGCACACACACCTAATGCATGTTTGAAGTTCATAGAATTCTCTCAGGTGTTTGTTGGTCCTCATCTTGTCCCTTGTTTGAGAAGGATCTGTTCTGGTTCGCTGGTGTGTGTGTGTGTGTGTGTGTGTGTGTGTGTGTGTGGCTCTCAGGCCTGAGATCTCCTGGGATTATCCTGCCTTTAACTCCTCTTTCTCCAGAGGAGTTGGGAGCCTGCAGATATGCTGTGTTGCACCTGGATCCACACAGGTTCTGGGATTCGAACTCAGGTCTACACGCTGCCACTGCACAAGCTTTATTGGTTGAACCCTTTTCCCAGCCCAGAGAGGTTGGTCTTTAAGCTAACGCACCTCCTTCACTCACAAGACTGAATAACATGTGTTTGTTTGTTTGTTTTCCAAATTTAAGAAAAACTGAATAGTCTTGGCAGTGGCAAAGGTTTATAGAGTTACGGTGATTCCAGCATCTGGCATCCATGTAGTTACTCTAGACAGTGAGTTCCAGAAACATGGAGTGCCACTGTCTTATAGTGAGCAGTCAATCTTGAGGGTCCATAACTAAATGCATAGGAAGAACTGTTCCACCGTGGGCTTGCTGCTTGCCCTCCCGCGACATCACTACACCTAGAGACAACTGCCTGACTGTGTGTTTGCCCTCCTGGGTGATGTCACCACACTCGGAACATGGCAGCTTGGCTTTCTCTCCACCGAACTTCACCCTATTGAGAGTTTTATTTATTTTTTAACAATCCCTGAACTGTTATTTATTGGTCTATTTGCTAAGTAACCTAGAATTGGCGAGTGGAGGGTGGGGTGGAACCAGCTGTGACCAGGTCAGGCCTGGGTGTGAATTTCTTCTACATCTTTAATGAAAAGCTAGTGCCCAATACGGATGTGTGTGGGATCCTTCCCCTGTAAAATGGATACAGGTTTTGCCCTCTCTTCCTCCCGCCCAGCTTCAGGGTTTGTGACAACCAAAAATTCAAGGGAAGAAAACACCTCCTTGGAAGAAACACACAATTCGGGAAGGAAAGCACATCACTTTGCACGTCCTTTCTTAGAAAGGTGGGTGACATCACTGTCACACTAATTCCGGCAATGAGGGAAAAGGGTTGAGCTTGAGCTCTGGGTGTTTCAGTGACTCTTTACAAGAAAACAGAAATATCTTCACAACGACACTTGAGAACATATTAACAGAAGGATTGTGTCAACCCGGAGAATCTTTCCATTCCGGGCTGGACTGGCCCCTGCCTTTCCAAGGCTCAAAGGTCCCCTGCTTGCTTCTGCTCAGGTGGCCAATTCTTTCCTGATAGCCTCTGCTGACTGACGTCTCAGAGATCCTGGCAGAACTTTGAAACAAACCGGCTCTCTGTGTTAGCCTGAAGGCTGTGTAAGGGCAGGCGCCCTATAGAAAAGATAAGGACTTTATTCCACAAATTTAGTGGAAGTCATGTGGTTTATAACTGGGAGGCAGCTGATTTGCTTTCGGTTCCTCCGGGCCAGTGGGATCGCAGGCAGGGCACCTGGCAGCGCCCCGCCGAAGGTTGGGATCCGGAGAAGGGCCAGTTGGCTCGGGGAGAATCCCTGTCTTCTCTGGGCTGTCCAAACCGCAGCCTGTCCTGTAATTATCCGAACAAGTCCGTCTAAGCTGGGCAAATCACTGGTTTTCCACGAAATGGTTATGTTTCTGATGCCCTCGGACAGATTCACCTCGAAGTCTAAAAGCAGAGATTGTCGCCCTCCCCCCAGCAAGCTGGGAGAGGGAAGGAGAGTGAAGTCCATACTGTTACAATGAGTGGAAAAGTGGAGAGACAAGGTTTCCGGGGGAGCGTGGGAACGCTGAGTTCCGAACGGGGAGTCTCGCTGCGCGGGGAACAGGCTGTGATCAGATGTGCTTTTCTCCCGAGGGGTGCAGCTCTTCTCTTCCTTCTGAGGTCCGGAGGAGCGGCTCGGCCCCGCAGCAAATGGCAGTGGCGAAGGCAACCCCGGTTCCGCCGCTCCCAGCGTCGCCTCCCCGCCTGAGCCTGCGGCGGGCGGCGGCGCCTCCTCGCGTGCCAGCGCCCCGGGGTGTCTCCTTGCAGGAGCCTGCGGGGGGAGGGGGCCGGGCGCGACGCGTGGGTCGCGTCGGTCCCAGCCCTGATGGAAGGCCGCCGACGCTGCCTCCGGGGCGGGGACAGCTCGGGCCACCGTGAGCACCGCGCACCCATTGCACCCACAGCTCGCCGGCTCCCAGGCGTAGCGGGTCTTGGCTCGTGGGGCCGCCTAGAGAGCAGCGCCCCGCAACCGTCGCCCCGGCGTCTCCCGCGGGCTGCAGCAGGTGCCTGTCGCACCGGGTCCCCGCGCCCTCCCGCCCAGCCGCCAGGGCGCCGCGCCCGCCCCGCCTCCGTCCCCACCCGCCCGCGGGCGGCCCCGGGCAGGGCCTGCAGCTGCCGGGCACGGGCGGGCGGCCGGTGGCCGAGGGCCGCTGAGGGACCGCGCGGTGGCCTCCAGTCGCTCTGCGCGCTCCGCTCCCGGCCCCTCACAGTTCGCAGCCACGACCGAGCTGGCTCACTCACTGCAGGGACCCGGCCTGGAGGCGGCGGCGGTGGCGTGGTACTCTGTCGCTGTCCCGCTGAGTTAGTGGTGCCTCCCCCGCGCGATGCGCTGAGGGCGCTCAGGTCCCTACACCAGCGTCGCCGCCGACCCCATGGGACCCGCGGCCACTGCGCGCAGCGTGCGGGCGCCGCCGTCTCCGCCGCAGCCGCCGCCGCTGCTTCTGCTGCTGCTTCTGCAGGTGGCAGTGCCGGCGGGCGCGCTGGCCGAGACCCTGCTGGACGCACCCAGGGCCAGGGATGCCAGCTCCAATCCGCCCAGCCCCGCCAGCGTGGTGGCCCCGGGAACGACGCCGTTCGAGGAAAGTCGGTTACCCGTGTTCACCCTGGATTACCCCCACGTGCAAATCCCTTTCGAGATCACTCTGTGGATCCTACTGGCTTCATTGGCCAAGATTGGTAAGCGAGCTGTACCCGTGGGTGGGGGCGGGGACGATCGCGCTGGGGCTCCCGGTGGGTAATCCGCCAAGTAGGCAAGTAGTTGGTCTCAGATAGTGGTCACCTCCTGCCCAACCAAGGCGAGCCAGCCTTGGACAAATAGACTAGTTTCTGCCGGTTGAAAAGTCTCCTCCTGTTCTTAATTCGACACTGGCCTTGGAAAGAAAGCCCAGGGAAGAGTGGCCATTGGTGTAGGGACTCACTGCTGACTTATGCTTGGAACCTCAAGTATGACAGCTCTGTGCGGAGGTTGAGAGAGAGGAGAGAAGAAGAGGAAGTCAGCTCTGGGCAAGATGCTGGAAAGGAGAGGGTGCCTTGGCCAGACACCGCCCCTCCCCATGTCCCCTGACTGATGAAGTTCTCAGACTGAGTCGGTGGACACTAACTAGAGTGCCTACAGCTGCAATATCAGTCCCTTCTCTCTGGACCCGTCACTCTCTAGAAAGCCTGTTCTTTAGAGGTAACTGAAGCCAGTGAGGTCAGATATTCACAAATAATTAACCCACTTGCCCCCCATTCTTCATTTGAAAGTGAAAAACGCGGCACCTGTCTTCTCTTCTTTTCCCCTGCTCCATCACCATGCTCGCTCAGAGCTTTATTGCTGCACTGTTCAAAAAACCTGTAAGGTTAAATGGGTGTAGTGTTCTCTATGTTTTATTATGCATTCACCTTGCTGGATGAAGTTCAACATATGTCCCTGCCATTTTAGGGAACTCGTTTAAAGGAAGCACTAGGGGTTCGAACACAGGAAATGCTCTATGGGCAGAGAGTTTTGTATATAACAAATGCAGTATGGCTATGGAGGGATTCGGGGATCACATCCACGCCAGACCTATGCAGACTTTGTTTTCAAGGATGACCGGAGTCTGGTCAGTGGGAGTTGTTCCCTAGAAACAGCATCCTAGAGAGAAATGAAGGGCATGAAGGGAAAAGGGGATTGTCCAAGCAGGTGGCAAGGATGATCTCCAACCCTATGGAACTTGCAAGCTAAGCCCGAAATGGACTTCCAGGGTTAGATTAAATCCATTAGCCTCTAATGGTGGTAAGCAAAGGTGTCTTGTGCTATGTAATGACTCTGTAGTCTAGAATTGCTGGCTCCAGCACGACTCGCTGGCTGAGTGTTTTAATTCCGTCTGAGCGATGGTAGAAGGAACGTAGACTTCCCTATCAAGCAAACAGCCACATAGGCGCATGGCCTCTAATAATAGCTGGAGATGCTGTCTCTTCGCTTATCCCTCATAGCATCCCTGCCCCGTAGGGAGTGCAGGTGTGAATACTCTCACCCCAGGGAGGTAGAAACCAAAGCTGGGAAGTTCACACTATGAACCACAAAGTCAGGATGCGCCAAATGTTGACAGGTAGATTGGCTCTGGGTACCTCCCTCGGCCTGAGTCAGAGCCTGTGGAGGGGTGCGTTTGTGTTCTCTTCTATTACTGCTTTTCTCCTCTAACACCCTCTCCTGCTCTTCACTCCTGATTATTTTAATCAGATTAATTACACTAATAACAGCCGCTAGTGGGCACTTAAGTTCATTATCCTTCATTTTCACAGCCTTCATCCTGGGTAGATATGATGGCCCTGCTTTGGAGAGGAGGGAGCTGAGGCATGAGGAAGGCCTGCTGGTGGGTGGAGAGGCCATTGTCCCAGCCAGAGAGACCTGATATCTCATCTTTGGGCTCCTCCCTGGAGGCTTGCTCTGGTGCAAGGGTTTGTCCATCATTCCTAGTCAGTGAGGCAGGCCTGGAGGTGGTGTCAGTCCTGAGAGCCGCTGTGGTAGCTGTGCAGTTCCTAGCCCTTCCTTTGCTCCTCTGCTGCCTTCTGCTGTCTCTTTGCTTCTGGTCAAAGCCCCAGAGCTCAGCACCTTCTCACCCCTGCTGTGGTATTCTGATCATCTTAATGGACATCGTCACCTTAATCGTGCGGTTAAAAAGTGTCCATGCTTGTGCGAGTCAAAGTTCGAAGGCACCTTCATGTGTCTGTTAACGGTGATATTAGCTCAGTGTACAGAATTCACTGGCCCTCTTCTGGCTCAGCTGCCCCTATTCCTGCCTTCACGGAGCTGGGTTTGAGGGCGGTCGTTATGTATCACACTTGCCTTCTCCCGATCCACTTGCCTTTCCTGAACTCTGCACTTTTGTGGCCACCGGGGCAGTGCGGAGATAGGACAACACATCTTGTCATCTTTGTATTCTTGTCTCTTTTCCAGAGAGAGGTCTGAGTAGCCAGGTGCTGACTCCCTGAAGTAAAGTGAAGGGAAACAGGTCTCATGATCGGAGGTGGGGTTTTCAAGTAAAAAAAAAAAAAAAATAGTTGGAGTCCTTTGCTATGTTATTCTTATTTTATAATCCAGTCCTCTTTGGCTGCTTCTGGAGGGATGCACAAATACCCAGATATACTTGCCTCTCTCCTAGGTACTTCCAAGTCTTTCTAGAACATCCGTCCCCTTGACCCTTTATTTTCTTTCTGGCTTTGAGCAAGGCTTCCTGGTACTGCAGAGGCCAGAAGAAGAAGTTCTGGAATAGAAGCCCTGGGGCTTCATATTAAATGCTTACACTTTATGTGCCGAATATAGTTTATAGTTTATCCATCACCAAAACCAAAACATTCATGGCAAAGTAGATCGGCTTTGTAACTTCATGGCTTCACAGTTTCAAATGTCTATTCTAACTGCGTATAAATAAGTTCGTTAAGTTTGGGTCTGGTTAATGTTAGTATGCTATGGCTTTATTCACTTGCAGTTTTTCTAATAGTAAAGTTTATTTAAAAAGGGAAGAAGTTCTGCTTTAGTTTTTGTGTTTGAAAAACTTTTGTCTGCAAGTGTGTGTGAGTGTGTGAGTGTGTGTGTGTGTCTCTGTGTGTGTGTCTGTGTGTGTGTCTCTCTCTGTGTGTCTGTGTCTGTATGTGTGTCTCTGTGTGTGTCTCTCTCTCTCTCTGTGTGTGTGTGTGTGAGTGTGTGTGTGTCTTTGTGTGTGTGTCTTTGTGTGTGTGTGTGTCTGTGTGTGTGTCTCTCTCTGTGTGTCTATGTGTGTGTCTCTGTGTGTGTATGTGTCTCTGTGTGTGTGTGTGTGTGTGTGTGTGTGTGTGTGTTGGGGGGGGGTAACCTACATGGCCTAAGCTGCCATGGGAAAGATGATGAGTCCAGCACACATAGGGAGATGAGGTTATGAAGCAACACATAAAGAAACTCATAAAGAAACGTATTTCTGTTTGGAGCATTTTAATGCAAGTACTTGGTGTGCCAGAACTTACCCACTGCAGAGAGTAGGGAGATCCATGACCAGTGATTAATCTAAACAAGGATGAACAGGTTGCACTTAGGAACATTTGTAGGAGGCTTAAACACAAGCAGTGAACTTTGAGTGGCCATCTAGATTACACCGCATCGGGATCTGGAAGTACTCTCAGAAATCGGGTCTTTTTCCTTTCCTTCCTTTCTTTTTTTGTAAAAAGCATAATTCAACTTATCTTCTCGTTGCTTTATCTGGTTACTGGGGGCTGGGATCCACTCCCTGTTTATTTGTCTGAGGGTGCAGTTATAAAATTCCCTGCAAACGTTATGATGGGAGCAAAGAGGATGGGAATATGGGAATATGCGAAGCAGTTTAACAGAAAGACCAAAACAGCTTAGTGAGTTTAGCTCCGCTTGAGGTGAGGCACTTCCGTCCCCTTTCTCTAGGCGTGTGCCCATTAATAATAGAGTCTCACTGTACTGTACCTGTAATTCTCACAATGTATTTTTTTGGGGTACGGTAAGACCCCCACACTCGGCCTGCTGAACCTTGCATGCAACGTTACGGGTCTAAGCTGACAATATGAGGGATGTAGAGGGAGAAGCCTAACACAGTTTCATGGTGGGCCTAACAGTGGTCTGGCCTGCTTTCTCTCCTCTCCTCAGGAGCTGGGCTGTTTGGGGGCTGTGCTTGCTGTACCTGGGTGAACGTTACTGTACATTCTACTTCTGCTCAAGGCTCAGGGACGGAGGAGCACTGGGCTTCATCTTTGCAGTAACTGAATCCCCTCCTTTGTTCCGGGATTGTCTGTGTGCTCCTTTACAGGGTATTGGTCTATTAGCTTCTCCTACCCAGTGTCCCTGCTCACACTTGGCCTTTTTATTCCCTTGGCCCCACAGCTAGGGCATAGCATTTTCTATTTCTCTCCAACTTTTGTTGTCTTTACCACTATTGTTGTTATTATTATTTGGGAAAGGAAAACCATTTGGCCCATGAAGCTTTCTGTTCTGGATTCCAGGCTGCCATGAGTTTAAAACATGAGATTCAAAAGTTATGTAGCTTCCTGAATAACAGAGATTTTTCTCTCTGAAAAAACCATGTCTTCCTGCACTTGCCTTTTTTTTTTTTTTTTTTTTTTTTTTTTTTTGTCTAGTCTGTCTGAAACTTCTGTCCTATCTGGGGGTGGCTAGGGTAAAGTTCATGGTCCTTGCATCTAATTTTGTACATACCATATGCCTGCTGGCTTGTGCTCTGACCTAAGAAAAACCAAAAGAATGATTCAGACTCCACTTACCTTGGAAGTGTCATCTACGCTCAGGGTTACCCATATGGTTTGGGTCTGAAAAGGGGGATGCAGTAGCTTTTCATATCTTCCTGAAGACTAACTCAGGCTCCATCAAGGCTGTACTGCCACAGCGTTTTGATTTTTTAAATAATAACAGATTTTTTTTTTGTTTATTTTCATCCATTGAAAAGCCTTACTGCTTCTCAACTTTAACGAGGAGGATAACTTTATTTACCATTAGCAGGGCACTTAGTTCTTGTGAAGGTGAAGCCCTAAGAGGTATAACACACACACACATACACACACACACACACACTTTCTCTCACACATGTTTTCTTTGTAGGCCTGTAAAAGCTCACCTGTAGGGCCAGGTGGTGGTGGCACACACCTTTGAAACCAACACTTAGGAGGCAGAGGCAGGAGGATCTCTGTGAGTTCCAGACCAG